CGCGGGAAAGACGACTGGCGCGCGCCGTCAAGGCGCTTGCGACGGCCGCGTCCCTTGTCCCAGGGAAAAGTGCGTTTCCGATTTTCCGAATTGGCGCCAAAAATACCGGGAGGACTCACGCTCGTCGCCGTGAAACCGGGAAAATTGGCGCCAAAAATACCGGAAGGACTCACGGCTCGTCGTCGTGAAACCGGGACGAGGTACTCGACGCGGGAATGGGGCCGAGGGGCATGGAGACGATTGCTGCGAGCGACGGGCCGCCGGAGATGCAGCGCTGCGACGCGTGGAGGTGCTCATACCGGAACTCGCGCCACGAGAGGCCGAGCGCGTGCCGCGTAAAGTCGGGCGCGAGGTCGCGGTACATCGCGACGACGAGGTCGTTGAGAAATGGCGAATAAAGGTCCCAGGGAACCACCTCGAGCCCGTGCACGTTCCTGGTACTACCGCTGTTCCAGAGGCCGTGCGGCGCGAGCTGCGACCAGTAAAAGTCACGCCACTTGGCCGCGCTCGGTGTCACAAGCGGCCCGTCATGGTCCAAGCACTCGTGGTAGATGGCGGTCGCCGCTTCGCGCGTCGGGGGCTGCGTCATGAAATTCCACAGCGTCGTGTAGGCCAGAATGTCTTCGAGGCGCAAGGCGAGGCGGCAGTAGGCGGTAAAGTCATCGAGTCCGTGAGGCTGCTCCAGATACGTGCGAAAGCTCGCGAGCTCGTGCAGTGAGCACGACGTCGCCGTCGCGTCGCCGCTGTAATTGGCATCGTCGACCCGCGTGGCGCCTACGTCTCGAATGATGTGATCAATGCGTCGATAAGGACGTTGTACGGAGCGACGTCATCGGATGGACAATGTTGAAATAAAACAAAAGGTGCGCGAGGAGCGTGCTCACCATCGTCTTGACATTGTACAGTCGCAGCAGCGTCCATTGAAACTGCGATTCGCAGTACGAGACGAACCCGAGCAGCCAGAGCACGCCCATCGCGTGCAGCAGCGTCTGCGCATACGTGCGGTGGAGGCCCGCGAGGTCGTCGACGCTGTGCAGAGCGTACACGACCGAGAGCACCACGCAGAGACAAAATCCAAACTGGATACCGATCGAGACGACCATGGCCTATAGCCTCCGGTGCATTATTGTAGCGTCTACTGGCGCGTACCGGTGTCAAGCAGCCGTCCGTGGACGAGCCGAGGAGCGTAGCCGTGTTGGAGGCACTCAGCGTCGCGCCGAGAATGAGCGCCACGATCGCAGCACACGCGCAGCGCTGAACGCGTCGCCGCAGCATCCATCGATAGAGCCGCATCTTGGGGTACGGCTCTTCCAGGTCCAGCGGCTGCGCAAGGACTTCGGTGACGCGGTGCTGCACGACATGCGATGCGGCCACAATCAAGTACCACGCGCTATACATCTCCCTCGCCTCTGTCGATGGAGATGGAGGAGGAGGTAGTACCTGCCAGTGACACCGAACGTTGCCCAGACGACGTGCCAGTAGCACGGTAGGCCCTTGGTTGGACCCGACACCACTTGGTGCATCGGGTCGGCGAGCGCAAAGATCATGACGCAGGCGGCAGCGAACGCCATAGCGAGCGGCTGCCGGCAGCGCACGTGGGCCTGCCGCCGCCGACACACGTACAGCGTCAAGAGCACCGGCATGTACGCGCCGAGCACGACGAGGACGACGAGCAGCGCTGCTTGCAGCTCCATGTCGTACAGTCTTTACTATCGTCTATTTTGGTCGACTCCTATGCGGGACAATGGCGCCATCACAGTACATAGTAGCCGTCCGTCGTGGTGGCAGCCTCAACTTGTTGAATGACGTGGCGCGGGCACAAGCCAGCACATGGATATGGCTCGAGGGGTGCAATCTAGAAGCCACAGTGGCGCCAATGGGAAGAAAACGGCCCAGCACGCTGCGTCCAGCACCACAAGCGACAGGTCGTCGGACGCACACAGGATTTCTCTGTCACTTCATTTCAACCACGCAAGGCCATCATACTCTGCTATATCCCATGTCCATCGCACTGGCAGCCAAACCACGTCCTCTCGGATGTCACATTTCGGTAGTCGTTCAACTACCTACGAGACGACGGTTTTGCCTCAACGATGGCGGTGTCCATCGTTCCCCAGGTCCCCTCTTCGCGTTGCCTTGCAAACGACAATGCATTTCTGCGTAGGAGCAAGTGCCTCTCTACGAAGGCAAGGAAGACGCCAACGGTCTCCGCACGGGCTCTGGTAGTTCGACCTCTTGCGTCGTTCTCCCATTCCTCTCTACTACTGACGTGGGCGTAGGCAAACTCGTCTTCTCCAATGGCGACACATATGTCGGACAGTTTGCGCAGGGCTACCGGCACGGCGCCGGTATCTTCACGTACGATCGTGGCCAGCGCGTTTACGACGGCGAGTGGAAGCTCAGCTTGCGGCACGGCAAGGGCAAGGAGACGTGGCGCGTTAACGACACCACGCTCTACAGCTACGAAGGCGACTACGAGCGAGGCGTGCCGCACGGCTACGGCCTCGAGCGCAAGAAGCTCGCCAAGTACGCGGGCGAGTTTCAGCATGGGAGGAAGGAGGGCCATGGCCGCATGGTGTGGCCCAACGGCGACACCTATGACGGGCAGTGGCGCGATGGCCGCATGGGCGGCCTCGGCAAGTTGGTGCGTGCTATCGACGGCAGCACGTACGACGGGCACTGGGTGCACGGTCTGCGGCACGGTCGCGGCAAAGCCATCGGGCCCGACGAGGTCCGTGCACAGAGATTGGTTTTTACATGACAATATGTGTGCATAGGTCTACGACGGACTGTGGAAGGAAGGGCGTCGGCATGGCGATGGCACGGTCGTCGTTAACGCGCACGAGCGCAGCGGTGTCTGGGACAAGGGCGTCCGCCTCAAGTGGACGACCCCCGAAAAGTTGATCCAATCCATTTGATACGAGTATCCAACCACTATAAACGTGACATATACACAACAACGTATCTATCCACGAGGTATAGTTGGAGCTTTGGATAGATACAACTTGTCATTTGCGGGCCAGGATGTCAAAAAAGTACTGCGACTCGAGCGCGCCGTCCTCGGGCAAGTCGGTGCAGTGCACCGCGTTCTGGACACGGTCGACGCCAAACCGAGCTCGGATCGTGCTCGGCTTGAGCTCCCGCGCCATGTCAATGTCCCACGGACCTGCAATCTCTCGAAAGCGCTGCACCTATTCGAGACAGAAACCATGAGCCGCCACGAGCCATGACGTCCTCGTACGACTTCGCCCGAGCCCTGCAGCTCGAGCGCGATGCACGGCCCGCTCGTCAGGTGGTCGACGGCTTCGTTAAAGTGCGGTACCACGCCGTCGTAGAGCTACGCACGTCGAAATCAAAAAAGGCGGCGGGCAGGTGGGTTCGACCTCGAAAAACTCGGACGCGGACGTGCGGTCGAGGCGGAAGAGCTCCATGGCCGAGATGGAGAGACCGCATTCGAGGATGGCATCGATGACAGACCCGACGTGGCCCTCCTTGAGCACATGCGGCTGGATCACGCAACACGTACAGTTGGCAAACGTCGCGGGCGACGGCCACGGCTTCTCGACGTACTGGTCGTGGAGCCTACGAGACGTCGACAATGAGCGAATAAAAGTACTGAGCTGGACGTACTGTTGCGCCTCCAAGGCGGACGCAGCGACTTCGAGCGGGTGGTTGAAGCGGCCTTGGACGGTCGCTGCGACCTTGGGAAGTCGCTCAATGGCGCTGTCGCCAACCACCTCGATGGCCACGACGGGCACGCGGTCGCGCAAAAACTTCTTGACAACGAAAGCGTGAGCTGGTTGTGCTGGAGCTGCGTG